ACACACACACACACACACACACAGACACACACACACACACACACAAACACAAACACAAACACATACACACACACAGGGATCAAGACGGCTTGATAAAACTACATAAGTTTGGATACTTTAAATATCAGAAACTGACATTAGAAAATATTCAATCACCATTCATTAACATGCAGGTCATGAAATAACAATGTAGCTGTTTGAAACATTTACTGCATATACAATTTCACGTACTATTTTTAAACAAAGGTTATATAGCATATACTGTCCAGTACGCAGTAAGCAGCATGTAAATATTCATTTACGAACACAGCCAATTTAAAGGGGTCATATGATGCGATTTCAATTTTTCCTTTCTCTTTGGTAATTAATTAATTATAATTATGTGTGTGTGTATAAAACAACAAAAATGTAAAGAAATAAAAAATATAATTTTTTATAAAAATAAATAAAATATAAAATGATATGCATTATACACACAAATTATTATGTATTATTATAAATATTAATAAAGAATCATATATAATTATTACTCTTTATATTACTTATATGGAGAGATTTTTATAAAATGTAAACAAAATATATGTAATTTTATAATTTTATAGGGGTGTACTAAGTGATCTTAACTCATGTAATGTTTTAGTCTTGTGGCTATATTTTTGATACTTGATGTCGGATCAAAAATTCAGGGACACTTTTACAAAGCTGACAGAAGAGGACAGGCATTTCTCATATTTTCATTGTCAGATGATGACAGATTGACAGTGTCGTATATTATTTTTCTGTAACGAATCATCCACTGAAGGCGAGCGTAGTGAAGAACCCAAGTGCAGTTTATTTACAGTGATCCAAACATCCAAACATAATCCAAACAGACGAAGACTAGAAACAATAATCCGTGACTTCACTTGACATGAACAGACTTGACTTAACTTGACTAGGCATGAACAGACTTGACGAGGTATGAACAGACTTGACTTGGCATGAACAAACTAGACTCACCGACAACGGGTTACAACTTCAATACACGACAAGGGCACAATGGGAACATGAAGGCTACTTATAGCAGACAAGAGGGTCACAAGACAAGAACAAACCAATGGGAAACAAGACACATGACTAAGACAACCAATCAGAACATGACACAATGAACAGAGGAACCAATGACATGAATACATGAGGGCAAGGGAAGCATGACACAAACAGGGACCATGACTAAACTAAATAATAAAAGACATGAACATGAACATGAAACAAAAACAAAACCCAAACCCCACATTACATTTTCGTTAATCAGAGTCGCTCTTCAAACACAAATATGAGTATGGCTGTCATGCGAGTGAACGGGACAGATCAAGGCCGGGCTGGTGTTATTCTGCTTTCTAAGAGGAACAAAAATCATGAAATATTAAGCAGCGGAACACTAAATGTTAAATTACATCAGAGCCGTCATCGCCGTAAAATCAGAGCAGAGCTGGTTTATATTCTGATGGTAACTGACCAGAGCCGGACCGACCGATTGTAACAGATGAATAATTGATAGACATGTTGCGTGCCATAAACATAAAATAGATGCATTAATAGAAATAGGTTCATGTTGCATGAATGCAGTGGCTGATGCACACGATGCAGGACCACTGACTGTGTGATGGAGCCTACAGAATGCAGTTATATGAGCCTAAAATTCAAGATGAGGCAAAAAATGACCCTGTATGGGTTTTTCGTCTCATATTTATATAAGATACAGTTTAGCAATCTCACACGAGAAAGTGCTGTTTTCCCAAATACATTTTATTAGGGCTGCAAAAGGATTAATCGCATTCAAAATAAAAGTTTTTTTACATACTGTATGTGTGTGTACTGTGTATATTTATTACGTATATATAAATACACACACATATATGTATATATTTGAAAAAATATTTGTATGTGTATATATACTTATAGTTATATATAATTTATATTATATATAAATATAAATATTTCATATATAAATTAACATATTTTTCCTTAATATATACATGTATGTGTGCATTTATATATACATAATAAATATACACAGTACATACACATATAGTATGTAAACAAACTTTTATCGCGATTAATCGTTTTGCAGCCCTAATTTTTATACAACAGTTAAAAAAATCAAGACATTAATAGTTTGTTAAATTTTAGACACATTATTGTCAATAGTCTGTTTTACTCAATTTTTATTAGCTTTTTAAAATATTTATATTTAGCTTTATTTTTTATTTCAGTTTTACAAATTTTCGCCTTTTACTAAAGTTTTCCCCTTAATATTTATATTTTATTTTACCTTTATTTTAAAGGGGTCCTATTATGCTTTTTCACTTTTTGAATTTTAGTCAGTGTGTAGTGTGTATGTTTGGGCATTAAAAAGTCCTACAAAGTTACAAATCTCAAAGTCCACTCCAAAGGGAGATATTTCGTTTTTTTAAAAATCCCTTTTCAAGAACTACAACGAACGGCTCGTTTGGACTACAGCGTTGTTTTCCGGGATTTTTGTGATGTCACAAAGCGGCTCATTAGAATATCATTAAAATAAATCCCGCCTACGGAAATTCGAATGGTTGGGGGGTGGGGTGGGGAGGGGCGAGTTCGTGGTTAGAACGCTTGGTTGAGTCAAAGCAAAGTCCCTTTCAAGGAAAGTCCGTTCACTCGGCCGCCATATTTGCAATGCCTCCGGGCAGCTCAAACAAGACCAAGTCCTATCTAAATGAATCCTAAAATCTCAAAAACTGTTTGCTGAACTCGCGATTAAATTACATATTTCAAATCAGCAACAAAATCTGAAATGAACTGCCCCATGAATGTTGTTTCTTATGCTCAAATAGCGTTTAAAAAGCTTCTTTTTCAAGCTAGATCAGCCAATGCGCATGCGTAGTTCCAATAGTTCCAACGCGCTTATGACTGCGCATTTGCATCGGCTGGTCCAGCCTCAGGTTTCTATGGGAACTAAAATAATTCGCGCCTATGGAAATTCGAATGGTTGGGGGGTGGGGAGGGGCGAGTTCGTGGTTAGAACGCTTGGTTGAGTCAAAGCAAAGTCCCTTTCAAGGAAAGTCCGTTCACTCGGCCGCCATATTTGCAATGCCTCCGGGCAGCTCAAACAAGACCAAGTCCTATCTAAATGAATCCTAAAATCTCAAAAACTGTTTGCTGAACTCGCGATTAAATTACATATTTCAAATCAGCAACAAAATCTGAAATGAACTGCCCCATGAATGTTGTTTCTTATGCTCAAATAGCGTTTAAAAAGCTTCTTTTTCAAGCTAGATCAGCCAATGCGCATGCGTAGTTCCAATAGTTCCAACGCGCTTATGACTGCGCATTTGCATCGGCTGGTCCAGCCTCAGGTTTCTATGGGAACCAGAGCTTCTAACGGCCGCTGCAGTGATGCAATGACTTTACCAATCAATGATTGACTCTTTCATTTAGAAGGCGGGACTATCCCGCCATATTGTGCGTTGAACGCGTCTTTGTATTTCTATAGTCTTTGGTTGAGTGCATCAGACAAGACGACAACAAAGAAGAAGTACTGCTGTAGTGTCAAGTTTTTGCAAGTTATTACACATGCACCTGAATAATTATGTATGTAAATATGTATGTTACAATTATGAAAACGTTTTTATAAATTAATGACAGTACAATACTGGACAATGATGTAATCTGCAGAATACATTGACCCGTACATTGATTTATTTGTGGCGCCCGCCACAATATCAAAACTGATCGCCACAAATAGATTTTCCAAAAGGCTTTGACTTCGTTGAATAAACATGAGCACTGCACGTTTCACAATCGAAACCCGGTGCAGGTGTTTTTATATCACTGTATTTCTGAAGGAAACTGACTGTCTTCAGAAAATTTTGGATGTCATTTTAATTTCATCTTGCTTGTAATGTCTGATAAAGCAGCGTTTGTGAGTGGAGTGCTGCTTTGTGTACAGCGGTTACCGGGGAAACCTCATTCCCTATCACTCCAACAGCGCCTCCTGCTGGCAGAGAATGAATTTGCATATATATGCCACCACAAATAGAGTGTAAGTCTGTGGGAAACACTGGACTATGGTATAAATAAATTCAACTGTATAACAGTTTCACTGCGATTCATGTTATAATGTTAGAATTAAAGAACAATAAACATAATACATATTACAGTTGCACTTATCTGTACATAGTAAATGCAGTTATTTTTAAGCAGTTGTTGACATCCTATCTAAAATGTGATTTAGCCAAAAAAA